TTGATTTAACAAAATGGTGTATGCAATACTTTTAATCTATTAGTTAACAAAAAACAGAGTACTAAAAAATTTAAGCTTCTAGTGTATTATCCATCATTTTTTACAAACAACAAACTCTAGAAAGATGCACAACAGTCTTTCTAATGTTCTGTGAATGAACTAGAGCAAGAAGTGAAATGAAAGAATCATAATCTTATTTTACCCCAGTGGGTACTCATATGTTCTAGGAAGATATGCAAGAGAATTTTCTAACTTCTTTTTTTTGGGGGGGAGGGGGTCGAGTGTCAAATGATCATTTATTGAAATATTTTCCTTTGTACTTTTATACTAGCTGGGCATTCCACTGCACCACTGTTGATATCATCTATGATGTCATGAAGGTGGCATCCATCAACACTGAAGCCCACAGAGAGGGCAGTCCCCAGGATCTCTTTAATGATTCCAGAGAGTTCTCTAGCTAAAGATTGGTGCCGCATCTGTCTGGCAATGTTGACAATCTCATCAAAAGTGATATTCCCGTTGTGTTTAATGTTTTTCTGTTTCATTCCGTCTCTTGGTGGTTCCTTGAGGGCTTTGATGATCAAGGTAAAGGCAGAAGGTACCACTTCAATCTGGGCCTGTCTCTCCTGAATAGTTTCACTATAATCCTCAGGCCCTTCCAGTCACCAGTTGCCTTGGTGATATCATCACCAACCTTTTTTGGAGACAGACCCAGAGGGCCAATCTTGGGAGCCAGGAGAGACATGGCATCGACTTCACCACCAGTGCACCTCAGGTACATGACTTTGTTCTCACTGGGGTCGAACTAAGGCAGCATGGTGGGGCGGCTGGTGTCGCATGAACCCAAATTCGGTAGGACCGAAGAAAGTTGCACCTTGGCCTCCTCCAAGCTGAAAACCGAAAGGCTGGAAGGTGTGCAGACCACACCGGATATCTAACTCCTTTTAAAATGCTTTAAAGTATTCCCTCAACCTAAATCTCCTCTCCCATTTCCAGATATAAAAGGGATTCTTCACTATCAACCTAAATCCTAATGAGGAACTTAGTATCAGCACAAACCACGACACCATTATTATAATGTGAAATCTGAAGCTGTATGGTTCCATATTTAGTTAATTCTCCTTTCTCTCCTAGTTTATATCTCTCTTATATTATTTATGGGTTTCCCTTTTTCTTCTCTCTGTCTCTGTCTTTCTTCCTCTCTCTCTCAAGCCCCCAAGAGTACAAGACTCTTAGAGAATAGTGATTGTATTTTCTTCATCAGTTAATCACAGTGAAATCAAAGTGCTGTCTACTATGTAAGGACCAAATAAACTATTAAATTTACTGAGACATTTTTAAAGATTGTAAGGCATTCCTTTACATCTCCTTTGACACTTTTAACAATCGCTTATGGAGTAAGGAATATATACATGTTGATATATGATTATATAGAATATCTTGAGATTTCAGGGCAAAGTGCATAACCATGTATTTAGATAAAGTTTAATTTGAGAAAACAGATATTAAACACTATGAAAGAATATGTCATTCATTGTTGAAATAACGTTTCTCACAAATTCAAAAACTTACCTTTTCATGCTCACCCAGGATGTATCAAAGATACCCATCAACCTTAAAACTCCTTCAAGAATGTCTCTGATTATATCAGGTGGCATGCGTAATGAGCGAATTTCTGAAAGAGATTCTGGCTTGATGTTTCCAACTGCTAGTTTAGCTTCATTGACTAGAGGCTAAAATAGAAAAAAGTCATTTTTACTTTCAAAACATATATTTTTAAAAATCATTAACTCTTTAAAAATTATCTAATATTTATTGTCATTTAGTCAAAATAATTATAGTTATAATGTTCTTTCTTTTCAAATATCAAAATGCTTTAAAACACCTAGGTAAAAATTGTTCAAGTTGAGAAAATATGATTCCTTGCCACCACAACTACAATAATCTAATTTAGAAAATCTAATTTGTTTTGAGACAATTTGACATTTTCAAGAGGCTCCCCCTTATATTTTAGGACAAGCTGGCTAATTTAGTCAACTCTGTGAAAAAAACAGCTTAACAGTTTGTCTTAATTTATCTACAACACATTTTTCCCCTCTATAATCAAAACAACATGGTTTGTGGTAAACAAAGATTATTTTTAATCACCATCACTAATTTACTTACTTCCCTGGCAGACCTTCCTTCTTGCTTTTCTTTTCTAAGTAATATTCTGGTTGAGAGGTCACATTTTATATAGAGCCACATTTTTATATAAAGCCACTTTTATATAAAGCCACATTTTATACTATTAAAAAATACTTGGGGAGGGGG